CAGGAGAGACTCAGGTTCGCTTGGGTGTGTCATGAATCAGTCCAGAACTATTAGGTAGACCAGGTGTCAGTGTGTCTGAAAATGAAAGGAGGAACAAGTGAGACATGAATCTGTTTTTCCAGTTTGTACCTGTTAAGGGACTTTGATTTCCCCCGAGTTCCTGCACAACACGTAACGAAACAGCAGGAGTGACATACTCCCATTGCTTAGCTCACTTCTGTATCAGTGTGCTCTCAATAAATGCGTCCTGATTTCAAACTAGTTTTTCTTTCTTTTTTTTTTTTTAGGGTTAATAACTGCATTGGATTTTCCAACTATAAATTTTTCCTTCAGTTCTTAGCTTACTCTGTTCTCTACTGCCTGTACATTGCTACAACGGCCTTCAGCTATTTCATCAAATACTGGAGAGTAAGTTAAAAATCCTGAAGGTTCCCACCCCCAGACAAACACACGTCTATTCCTGTCTGTGACATCGTTCACCTTATGTTTTTTTACATTTTGACATAGCTAGTACTTAAGTAACCAGGACAGAACACACCAAAAGCAAGTTTCCCATGTTGAATATTCCGATTCAGGAGGCTGTTATTTAAAGATTCCTGTTAAACAAGTTTCTGTCATACGTGAGAATATTTTAAAGGCTTTCAGGAACCCTTAACTCTTACTGATTTTTTTACAATGTACTTCTCTAGTCAAGTTTAGAAATTCACATCTTAACCAATTATAGATTTGAAAAATGTTGAAAGTAGTTCTGAATCTCTAGTTTCCTCAGAAAGGGTCACAAAGTACTCCCTCACGGTTAGAAAACACTTTCTAATTCCTCATGCAAAGGACAGTTGCCGAATTCCTACTGGACGGAAAGACACACTGACTTATGATCACATGTGAGCAAAACGAAGCGTCTTATCTGAACTTTGTGTGATTCTAATACTGGCTCTGTTACCTGCTGCACTGGCTCACTGCCAGAATCAAATGAAACAGATGTTGAAAGTACTTTACTTTTCAAAACAGGATTCTGACAATTACAACCAAACCTTAAAAAAATCCTACTTTCATCTTTCTTACACGTGATGATATCAACCATATCTCATCTATTTCCAAAGAGTCGAAGGCAGATTTTCAGTTTACATTTGTGTGCAGGGTCTGGCAGCAATACAGTGAAATACGTTGTTCTGTTTTGTTTCATGCCAATGGACTCCAGAAGACATTCCCTCCACACGACTCCAGTATAGTTACTAAGACATCATAACTTTCCTTGAGAAGAGTTGTCCAAACTGAACCTGAATAGCAAGACAGATGCGGGCAGGGCTACTCGTTATTACTTTAGTAAGTGCACAGTAATCTGTATAACAGGAATATCTCGCCTCAGGTGGAGAGGTAAAGCAGCGGGGTAAGAATGTGAAGCCTGCGACCAGAATACAGATTATAATAAACTGGAAGAAAAAAGGAGACAGGAAAGACAGTGAGAATCTAAATAGCCGAGAATAAATCGTTAAGTGATTTGACCCCTGCTGGTATAGAACATTATAGTGATATGTGTTTTCCATTCTCGCTTCAACTCACTTAATCAATTCAGGTATTTAATAATTGTAAGAATCAGAAATTATATGATGGATATCAAAATCTTCAACTAAGAGGTACAAAAAGATAAGCAGAAGTGAAGTTTTCTTATCAATCTTCGCCAAATACAAAATGCGTCGCCATCTTGGTGTTTCTTCTTGGGCCCTTTCCACAGTACAGAGTCTCTACTGCTCAGGTTTCTATGACCTGTTTGACATTTTACCCACACACTGAACTACTTCCCTGAAAGTAAAGAAAATCTATGGCATCCAGTTCAGCGAGGGAAGTGTCAGCCTCGGTCTTCGCTGCAGACCTCACTTGGGCCTAAACACAGCGGGCTACCACTTAAAAACCAGCCTTTATTCTTACAACAGGGTAAACGATGTCACATGTCACATGCTTTGCCTTCGGCCCTCCTAGTCGGCCAATAATTAAATATCACAATGCCAGCCAGGTGCCACATGCATTTTTCACTCTTGAAAGATAATATTTAGATACGAATCAATTACCAGAAATTTCTCAGCATTCACAAGCAATATTAGGGGTGAACATAGCCTTGTCCTTTCCTACACCCTCATTTTTCTTCCACAATATATTAGCTCATACCTGACAGAGAGGCGACGAAAGCCGTCCTGGCTTGCCCTCATGTTCAAAAGGACATTGACAGTTCAGAGAAATGCTGCTTTGCAGTCTCTCCAGCCAGAGAGCACTTTGGTGTGGTTTAGACGTGACTTTCCTGTGTAAATTAAGCCTACCTTAAAATGAAAAGTTAACTGCCACGTATTTTAAAAGCCACGTATGGAGGAGACTAGCCGTGCCCCTACGAGCAGCAACTTCCATTTGTGTGGTACTTTACCATTTTCAAGGCACTTTTATATCTATTATCTATCCTCGCCACGGCCTTATGAACTGGACGAAGCAGGAATTATTAGTCTCATTTAAAGATGATAAAACCGAGGCTCATAGTAATTGAGTGACTTGCTCAAGATCACCTAGCACGTAGGTTTCTTTATAAAAGATTTTTCCTGTGAAGGTATTTTATTTTTATTTTTTTAAGTGGAGGGTGACGTAACCTTGATTTTTTATTTTATTAATTTTTTCTATTTTTTAATTACAGTTGACGTACGTTATATTAGTCCCACGTATTCAGCATAGCGGTTAGACATTTATGTACCCCGTGCAGTGGTCCTCCATAAGTCTAGTCCCCACCCGGCAGCACGCACGGCCATTACACCACCACTGACCATATTCCCCATGCTGCAGCCCACATCCTGTGACTATTTTCTAACTGCCACTTTGTGCTTCTTAATCCCTTTACCGTTTTCACCCACCTTCCAACCCCCTTTAATCTGGCAAACATCAGTTTGCTCTCAGTATGTATCAGTCTTTTGTATGTTTTTTGTTGTTGTTCCTTAAATTCTAAATATAAGCGAGACCATAGGTATTTGTGTTTCTCTGTCTGACTTATTTCATTCAGCACAATACCCTCTAGGTCAGCCTATGTTGTTGCAAGTGGTAAGATTTGATTCTTTTTATAGCCAAGTAATATCCCATTGTACATATGTGCCACTTCTTTATCTGGTCGCCCATCGGAGGACACTTAGGTTGCTTCCATACCTTGGCTATTGTAAGTAATGCTGCAGCAAACAGGGGTGCATAGATCTTTTCAAATTCATGTTTTAGATTTCCTCAGATAAATACCCAGAAGTGGACTAGTGGACTTGTTACTGGATCATAAGGTAGTTCTACTTTTAATTCTTTGAGGAACCTCCAAACTGTTTTCCATAGCGGCTACACCAATTTGCAATCCCATCAACAATGTATGAGGGTTCCCTTTTCTCCACATCCTCGCTAACACTTGTTCTTTGATTTATTGATGATAGCCAGGTGTGAGGTGACATCTCATTGTGGTTTTAATTTGCATTTCTCTGATGATTAGTGACCTTGAGCAAGTTTTCTTATGTCTGTTGGCCATCTGTAGTTCCTCTTTGGAGAAGTATCTATTCAGTTCTTCTGCCCATTTTTTAATTGGATTGTTTGGATGGGTTTTTTTTTTTATATTAAGTTGTATAAGTTCTTTATACATTTTGGATATTAACCCTTTATTGGATGTATCATTGGCGAATATCTTCTGCCATTCAGTATGTTGTCTTTTCGTTTTGTCGATGGTTTTCTTTGCTGTGCAAAAACTTTGTAGTTTGCTGTAATACAATTTATTTTTTTCTTTCGTTTCCCTTGCCTGAGGAGATAGCCAAAAAAATATTACTAAGAGCAATGTCAGAGAGTTTACTGCCTATCTTTTCTTCTAGGAGTTTTATGAGTCTTACATTTAAATCTTTAATCCATTTTGAGTTTATTCTTGTATATGGTATAAAAAGTGATCTAGTTTATTTTGCATGTAAAAGTTCAGTTTTCCCAACACCATTTATTGAAGAGACTGTCTTTACCTCATTGTATATTCTTGCCTCCTTTGCATAGATTAATTGAACATATAGGTGTGGGTTAATTTCATTTAATACCTTAATTCATTTCAAGTTTTGTGTGTGTGTGTGTGTGTGTGTGTGTGTGTGAAAAGTGTAAGATAGAGAAGTGTGATGCCTCCAGCTTTTTTTCTTTCTCAAGATTGTTTTTTTTATTTTTGTGGTCTTTTGTGGTTCCATATGAATTTTAGGATTACTTTTTCTATTTCTTTGCTAAATGCCTTTGGTATTTCACAGAGATTGCACTGAATTATATAGATTGCTTTGGGTAGTATGAACATTTTAACGACGGTAATTCTACCTTTCCATGAGCATGGTATATGCTTTCATTTATTTGTATCTCCTTCAGTTTCTTTCTTCAGTGTCTTATAATTTTCTGAATACAGGTCTTTTACCTTGGTTAAATTTATTCCTAGATATTTTTTTGATGTAATTGTAAATGGGATTATTTTCTTAATTTCTTTCTTTGATAATTTGTTATTGGTGTATAAAAATGCATTTGATTTCTAAATATTAATTTGTATCCTGCTACTTTATTAAATTCATTTATTGGTTCTAATAGTTTTTTTGGTGGAATCTTTAGGGTTCTCTATATATGGTATCATGTCACTTGCAAATAATGACAGTGTTCCTTTTTCCTTTCCAGTGTGGATGCCTTTAATTTTTTTTTCTTGTCTGATTGCTGTGGCTAGGACTTCCATTACTATGTCAAATAAAAGTGATGAAAGTGGACATCCTTGTCTTGTTCCTGATGTTGAGAAAAACACTTTTAGCTGGGTGGGGGGAGGGCTCAACAAAGGAACAATGGCTTCTTCCAGCACTTTTGTCTAGAGAAAGCCGCCCCTCCAGCCCTCGCCCTGAAGGCAGACCACTCAGTCCCTCCCTGTGTGTCCCTGGCACCTTTGGAGCTGCTGCCCCAGCGCTGGAGCTCCCAGTGAGCGAGTCCATCTGTGAGTAAGTCTGTGCACGGGCCCTTAAAGAGGAAAGTCTGGGACTCCAGCTGCCCTCCGTCCTACTTAGCTACAATCTCCACTGATTTTCACAGCCAGAATTTATGGGGACTTCTCTTCCTGGCAGTAGAACTCTGAAATGGGGAGTCCAAGATGGGGCTGGGGCCTCTCGCTCCTCTGGGGGGACCTCCACAGCCAAAATATCCCTCCTGATTCTCAACCGCCACACGTGGATGTGAGACCAGCCCTTTTCATGTTTCTGTCCCTCCTACCAGTTTCGATGTGGCTTCTCTGTGTGTCTTTAGTTATAGGACTTCTGTTCAGGACTTCAGGCGGTTCTCAATGATGTTTGCTCGGTAGTTTGATGTGGTCATGAGAAGAGGCAAGCACAGCATTTACCGACTTTGCCATCTTGATTAGAGTCTCGAAGGCTTCAAAGTCTTTGAATGCTTCAAAGTCAGAACTTGAATTTGACCCTAAGCCTAGTGATCTTAAACATGGTAATGTCTTACTGCCCATTATAGTCCTGCTATGGAGAAACTCTAGCTCTTTTAGAATAAAGAATTCAGAAGACCATCAAACCATATCTCTCCTCTCATATTAATTTAACGAGTAGCTACTTTGGTAGGAAATTGATCTTTGCCTTATGAAAAAAGTAGTAATATATACCTCCCATACTGGGTTGAATCTCCTCGCAGAGCCTGTGAATTATTTCAGAACCAAGATAACAGTATTATTCCACCAGCATCCACCTGCACTGTTTTTGGTAGTTACTGCTTTGAGTACTTTAGCTTGGGTATCTCCTGAGAAGGTAATTTTGAACATAGGGCCATCACTCTCTTCTAAGAAAAAACTAGAATATTAAGTGCTTTATCAAAGGACAACACAGTAGATATAATTTGGCAGACAGAAGAGAGTCCTGTAAGAGTAATTAGAGGAGGGAAATACCTCCGGCTTAGCTACTCAGGGTGTGAACTGACTTCATATCAATCCCTCTTGCCGAGCCATTTTTCTATTGCCCATTTAAACATAAAATATAAAAATTAAAATAAACATGAACTTTTTAAAAAATACATGCTCAAAAAGTATAGATTATGAAAGTAAAAAATCAGCCAGGCAAAAACTACTACAGAGATACATGGAGTCTTTCCTATAAATTTAAAACAAAACAAAGAAAAAACAATCAAGTTCAGTTTGGATGCATAGGCTAAGATTTTGTGAAGGGACTATTTTTAAAGGGAGATGCAGATAAAAGTTCCCTGGGGTAGCTATTTCCTGGGGTGCTCTTTCCCCATGCAAAGTTCAACCAGACCACCCCTCAACTGAAACCATCTCACTGGCTTACTTTCCCTTATCTTCATCCTTCAAACATATACACTCTAGAAGATTCCCGATATTTCCTTACATCAAAATGAATAAAAATCTCCTCTAAGAGAAGAAAATACCTGTGTTATCTAAATTTGCCAAGTGTTTCCCAGTCTTAACTTTCTCCTTCCAAACTACGGTAGGACCAGATAATAATGTAAGGTCCACTTCAATCGCGATCACCTTTAACTTTATTACTTGAGAGTATTTAGAAATATTTCGAAACAATTCATGACACCAAAACAATGATCAGCCCAAGAAAGGAGGAAATTAAGTCCTTCTCGCAACTGCTCCTTCCAAAATTGAAAAATTTTCTAAGATTCTTTTCAGAATACAAAATGTTACATGCTGTGTGTGCTATGGAACGTTAGAAAATTCATTCTGGCCTAAGGCTGCATATATTTTTTTAAAAAGCTGTGGCCACATGGAGAATAAGATGTCCCAGCTAACTATAAAAATCCTTAGCTGCCTACTTTTAAAATTGCCTGTCAAATACTGCTTGTTTTTACTGTCTAAACATCTGTTTCACAGGATGTAATATACCAGCACATTGCATTGCAGCTATAAAAAGAAACAACCGCACACGATCTACAGTAGCTTTAAAATCAGGTCATGGCTTATAGGTAGTGTATTTTAAAATTCTACCTATGTGTTTTAATCTCCTATATACATCACCATGACATTTTCGACACACACGTGTCCAAGGAAACATGACACATAAAGTATTTCAGAATAACCCACCTTGAGACAAGAGGATAAACCATATGATCTCAAAGTTACCTCTAGCCAATGATTTATACTTTGGAAACTAAATGGAGTACAAGTTTTAAAACGGCACCCCAATTATGACCTGAGTATGCTCCTTTCGCATTACCTTTTTCTAACTGGAACATTATACACTCTCTTTTATACTGAATTGCACATAAGCAAGGATACGGTTTAGGCTTTGTAGGCTGAAAGCATATCCATACTGAGGTATGGTCATCAACAGAAAAAACTATTTTGTAAAATTTCACAAAATCTATTTTCTAAATTACAGCGAGATAGCTAGACATTTTCATACGTTTGAAAAAGTTACTAAATGATGTAGAAAGCCAAGCCACGCCTTACCACTTTAATCTTTTGTTTCTGTTTATTATTTCTTTTCTAGGGAGAATTGCCCAGTGTTCGCTCTAAGTTCCACGTCCTTTTCCTCCTCTTTGTGGCCTGCATGTTTTTTGTCAGCCTCGTGGTTCTCTTTGGTTACCACTGTTGGCTTGTCAGCAGAAACAAAACCACCTTAGGTAAGACTGGATATGAAAACTGGGGAAAACGTACTAATGTATATCACAGTGACCTGTGGATTGTTCCCAAGGAAGAGAAAAGCTGCCAGCGAAGCACTTTAGCTGCAGTGACATCCCCTTGCCTCCAAACTGAGACAAACGTAAACACATTTTACCAAACTGGAGAGCCATAGTGAATGAAACCTCACACAAAACCAAAAATGACCGTTTCTCTTTATAGTTCACATTGGGTTATAGCTCTTCAGATAGACAGCTTGAAAAATTTCTAAAAGGTGTTCATGTGAGGAACTGAAGGAAAGAATCAGTACAGAAGGGAACACCAAAAGAGGGAGGTAAAGATCGATAGATAATTTATTGAATACATCCAAAAACGGTCCTGGGAAAGAATTCAAACCAACAAATCATTGAATACCTACGATCACCAAGGAGCTATCTAGGACTGTGCGAATGAGATACTTAGACTGAACAGGTGAGTCTCTAGAAAATGAGAACGAAAAATGAATTATTTTTTCTGTCCATTCTATACTCTATATTTCTGACGGATTCCAGTGCGATAATTGTTTCATCTATGGTGAAAGACATATTTACATTGTATGCAAATCAATGCAGGAGGAATGAGGAGAAAGTGTCAAAATGTTGAACGTTTCACTAAAATAGATTTGAGGAAAGTTTAGTACAAAAGCCGCTATACTTTTATAACGAATTTGCTAATAATGCTAACAGCTGAGAAAGTATTTGCACTCACCTTCTAAACCAAATATATATGTAGCACTTAGTTGCTAGGTGGCGGATTAGCACATTTGGTTTAGAGATCAGCTGCAAAGTAGAAAAGTACTAAAAGCTTCATGATAACCCAGTGAAAACAAAGAACGAATGGGAAATGGCCAGATGCAGCCAGACTCCAACAGTGAGTCTGCTTAATGGGATAAATGTGCGTCTAATGATAATGCGTGCTAGCTTGGTCCGCTTCCTCATAGTCTTTAAGGTGATTATATTCCACCCATTGACTTTTTTTTTTTCTGGCATAAAACTCAATTTCTTACATTATAGGCTTCAGTGTGAACACCTTCATTTCTGAAACATTCAAAACCAAGTCAACGTCATTACCATCTCTTTATGTGTTATTGCTTTGGTCCCAGCTCTAAAGATGGAGACCATTTGACTGTCACTGTCCCTTTCAAATAAAGTGCTGTTAAATTTGTTCTTTACTCCTGCATGCAGCACTACAAAATACACACCATGCCCATGACTGCTTAATTATTTCTACCATCATGTGTCTCTTCTGCCTTTTTTTAAAAGAGTGCCAATTCTTTGTATTTAATAACAAACTTACTCTGTATTGAGTGATTCACTTGGTTTTCACTAAGTCATTTAGCACTAACTGAGAATGAAGGGCCTATGCGACCACTGCAGAAAGGTATCATAGAACCAAGTCGCGTTATGGAGAACTGTAAAATAATGATGGTTCTGAAATTTGTCCCTTTATTGCTTTCTTCCTCTTCAATTTCCCTCCCCTGCCTTAGAGGCCTTCTGTACTCCGGTGTTTACAAGTGGCCCAGAGAAAAATGGGTTTAACCTTGGCTTCACCAAAAATATCCAGCAGGTGTTTGGAGACAACAAGAAGTTCTGGTTAATACCTATTGGGTCCAGGTAGGTAATTATTACTTGAAAGGAGTTGATGCTGGACCATATCTTGAAGTAGCAGATTCAATTTTGACTATAGGATGCAGAGGGCATTAATCGGTCCAATGTGAAACTCTATTCCCTAAGTTTTTCATTTCTAAGTAAAGAAAAATCAGGAGCTGAAGGTATGATAAATAGACATTCTCATGCTCTCTGGCAATGTAAACTAGTAGCACTGTTTTATAAATGAATCTGGTAACATGTATCCAAAAAAACCCACATAAGAATCCACATGCCTATTGTCCCAGAAATTTTATTTCTGAAAACCTATTATGAAGACAGAGACAAACTAGTCGCAAAAATGTTTATTACAGCATTATTCCTAGCCAATAATTAGGAAACAACCTAAACATCCTACAATATAGGAATATATATGTACACACACACGCACACACACAGTCAACAGTCACAGGGATGCGAAGTACAGCATATGGAAGTACAGGAATATAGTCAATAGTACTGTAGTAACTATGTAAGGTGCCAGGTGAGCACTAGACTGATCGGGAGAATCGCTTCGTAAATTATATAAATGTCTAACCACTATGCTGTGTACCTGACGATAATATAAAATAACATTAAACGTCAACTCTAATTGAAAAATAAAAATTAAAAAAATACTTACAAATATATAGAGAAGAAAAACAACAAAAGGGAAATATATCCCCAAAATACTATAAGTGGTAAGGGCAATGGTCTTACATATTGTTTTTCTTGTCTCCATTTTTCATATTTTGGGATGCAATGCTTATATTAGTTATACGAAGGGAAAATTAAAACCAAAAGCAAGGACAAACAGACTGATTTAGAGACTGTAGGCAATTCTTAGACCTGCAATGGGAATGAAGGGAAAGCAGCGAAGGAGAAATGAGCTTGTGTCCTCATTTTGCGAACAAATCAAGCTGATTTTGTGAAGCAGCTTGAACTACCATCAACTAAACCAGCTGTGGAGTAAACTTTATCAAGAGCTTTCTTGCAGCCCCCTTTAGACTCATTGCTCAGACAGGTATGCATTAATTTCTGCACTTACTTGAGGACACTTCGTTGGGGTAACGTGGTAATTAAGGAAATATTTCTCCCCCCTTCACTTGTCCCAATACTTCCTCTGGACCAGTTAGCATTTTACAAACTCATTTATTTAAGATCCATGGTGTATCCTACTATCCTCGCTATAAATCATAAGACGAAACTGTCAGTGAGTAATGTTGATTGTTACCAGCAATTATTTGCACCCAGTCACAGACACATACACACACGTGCTCACACACTGTCACTACCACTAAGGGAGTCTTCTCTGGAATAAATAACAAAAGAAAAAACTCAAAGCCCATTCCCTTCTAATTAGTATACTCATATCCTATGGAGAGAACTATTAACAAAATCTGTCAATTTTCAATGAACCACATTTGTGAACAGGAGAAAAGGCACAGGTAATATCCAATGAGTAATCTAAAAGTCACTCAGACAAAAATTTGGAATGTATTCAGATATATTTACTCAGATGTTCGAATTGTAACCACTTTAGCCAGGGCCAGCTCAGTGTCCTCCAACGCGCCCCATCTGCTAGAGGTTAACGAGGGAAGTGGC